GCTGAGCGGCAGAGGGTTTGTACAGTTCTTGAAGGCCTGGAGACCAGATTCCCAAGCGCTTCCTGGCACTAGGGTTTGCTGCGCGGGCCTCCGGGACAGTACCCCCGCCCAACACGGTCCGAAACCGCCAAGGTGTCCTCCGAAGCGCCCAAGAGGGTCTAAAAGCCTTCCGAGACGGCCCCAGAAGGCAATCCCATCGGGACACGGACTCTTCCAGCATATCTAGCTTTTGGGCCTTCAGAGCGTCCACGAATAGCCAAAAGGCCCCAACGATCGCCCTAAGACGGGACAAGAGGTCCGCAAGAGGGCCGCAAGACGGCCCAAGAGGCACCCAAGACGGCGCAGAAAAATACCTAAGCCGAGCCAAGGAGGGGAACACGCACCGACAGTTCGAGCCCTCCGCTTGGTTTTGGGATCCTGGAAACCCCAGTCGTCCGAGACATCCTCAAAGAAAGACTCACGTCCCCAAGCCGTGTTGTGACCCCGAATCCCCACTGACTCACGACACGGTGTGGTCATCGCACCATGTGGGGGCTCCCGCTCTTCAGCCTGAACCGCTTTTCTGGAGGTCCCAAGGCCCCTGGAGGGCGCTGGGAGCCCCAAGCGGCGAAAACCTCATAGGACCCGTCTCCCTGACCCATCTCCTTCATGTCGACCTCTCCCTGGGGCGCGGAGCCATGGAGCGGCGCCAGAGGCGCCGCCCGAGGGGGCCCCGGCGCCGATCCGAGAAGTCCGCGCGGAGCTGGCGCGAGCCTCCCTCCGTGGGAGGCGGGCGAGGCGCCGGAGCGCGGCACGGCGTGCTGCGGGAGGTGCCCCTGGCGCCCCCCCTGGGGGCTCAGCGCCTCCCCTCTCTCGCGGGCTGGCGCGCGCTTCTCGGGCTGCCCCGCCGGCAGCGAGCGCAGGGATGGTGGGCTCTGCGGCAGCAGGGGTCCGCGGGGCCCGCGGCCGGGCGAAGGCGCACGGCGTGGGCAAAGCTGCAGCGCCCGGGATCTCGGGGCTCCCGCGGGCGGCACGGCCGCCCCTCCCCCGCGAGAGCGGGCGGCCGCTGGCCCTCGGTGGGGTTTGTGTGCTCGTGCCGCTGTTGCTTCTCCGACGTTTGCCTGCCCCCTCTCCCCCAACCTTCCCGCCCTCTCCGCCTAACCCCCCCCTCCCCGCCCTCGCTATTTCTTCTTCGATGTTTGCTTCCCCCCCCCCCTCCTCCCTCCCCCCCCCCCCTTTCGCTGCTTCTTCTTCCATATTTGCCCCCCCCCCCCCCCCCCCCCCTCCTCCACTCCTCCCCTCACTCCTCCCCCCCTTCCTTCCTCCTCCCCCCTCCCCTTCCTCCTCCCCCTTCCCTTCGCCCCGCCCTCCCCCCCCCCCCAGCCCCCGCGAGCCGCCAAAGCAGGCACGCGGCAATGGCCGCACCCGATCCCAAATGGACCCGAAGGTAGCTGTAAAGTTTATGGACCCCAGCGGCAAGCCACCGCTCTCAATCATGAAGGCGACTCTGGCCCGGAGAACTGGCCAGCACGGCCCAGACCGCGAAGGCAAATGTGCGACCCGGCCGAACCGGTAAATGTTGCCCCTGAGACCCAAACCGTGCACCAAGGGTGGGTAAGGGAGGGCTTGATGCCCAGTCATGTGGCTGCACTGCTTGGGCCAAAGGCAACGGATGGGAGGGAAGACGGGGCTGAGGGATCCTGTGGTTAACCAAGCCCCCATCCCCCGGACGCACCGAGTCAGTGACACAAAATGCCTGCCACCTGCCACCCCGCCGGGGCATGAAAGTGCCCAAGGCTCATGAGGCCATGTGCCGGTCGCTTCAGCACAGGCTGTCCTGCGAACGTGGCCGGAACTCGGGGGGCAAATCCTGCCACCCCCAAGCGGGACAACCGGAGCGGCCCCCGGAACGCTCTCGGCAAGGCGGGCCGCTGCCCAGGACGCGGAGAGGCCTCAGGACACTCTTGCTTCACGACGGGGATGTCGGCTCCTCGCCCCCTCCCCGTCGCCTCGAGAAGGCACGCGGCGCGTGAGTGACGGGACCCCCGCCCTGCGAACCGCAACCAGCCAAGCGAGGGTAAGCATTCCCCCTCCCCCCCCCCCCCCTTACCCCCCCCCCCCTCCTCCCCACCCTCCTTCCCCCTCCTCCTTCCCCCCTCCCATTCCTCCCCCCCCTCCCCTCCCCTTCTTCCTCCTCCCCCCCCCCTCCCCCCCCCCCACCCTTCCACACTGAGTGCCACCCGAGGCGGCCGCGCGCCGTGGCCTCCGGTGGGGCGGGCGGCGGCGGCGGGAGGCCCGCCAGAAAAACGACGAGAGGCCTGGAGCCTGTCTCCCTCGGGGCCCCCCTCCGCCACTGGCGAGAGACCCAGGCCCCCTCGAGGCCTATGCTGTTCCAACCTACTTTGGCCTTGGCCACCAGAAATAATGTCGAGCACCAAGGAAGTACCTCGACTGGAAGGATTCGCGTGTCGGGCCCTGGGAGGCGGCATTTGTTCGATACTGTTTCGACACTTTCTGGGAGCTCGAAGTTATTTCTGGGACGTGGTCCCTAACTAGGATGGGAGCAACATGACCCGAGGCATGCAAAACTCAGGGCGGGAGGTCTTTGTCGCGGTGTTCGGCTCCTCCTGGGGGGGGGGGGCTTGCCGGGCCTCGGGGCCGCCCCCAAGAACGACTCGGGATGAAAAGCCGTTCCCGGGAAGGGGTCCAAACTTAAGTCGGGCCTGTCCCCCACACTGGAGGGAAATCCAAAAATAGTCAAAACATACAAAAAGGGACGATTTTTGAATATAATCGAACATGTTTTGGATAATTTTGGGGTGTTTCCCCACATCCTAAGTGGAGTTCTTGTTTTCTCTGGACACCCTCCACGCAGGATCTCCTCACCCCCCCCTCTCTGTCTTTCTCTCTCTTTCTCTTCCTCCCTCTGGCCGTCATCATCATTAGTCATCATCACTCATCATCACCATCATCATCCTCATCATCATCATCTTCCTGGTCATCACTACCATCACCACCCCCGCACCCCTTCACTCACCATCATCATCATCACTACCCATCGTCACTACTCATCACCATCCTCGTCATCGTCACCATCATCATAATCATCACACTCACACACTCACACCAGCATAACCCTCCTCATCAACAACATCATCATACTTCGAACAGCAATCATCATCATTACCATCCTCATCCTCATCAACACCATCATCATCATTCTGCCACTCATCACCATCATCATCATCATCATCACCACTCACCATCATCACCACTCGAAAACTCATCATTTCGTCATCACTCACTCCCTAGTCTGAATATTGAGGACGCCTAGAGCGGGAGCCTCGTCTGTGAATGAATTGTGAGGAAGTCTCAGGCGGGACCCCCTCCCATATGGGTCCCGCACTTCATGTTGGTAATCCGAGCGGGTCATCCGCAAACCTGTAACTGTCGTCACTTTTGGCCTCCTGAAACTTGAATTTGGAGGAAGTGCCAAGCGGGGGCCTCGTCTGTGGGTGAATTCTGAAGAAGTGTCAGGCGGGAACCCCCTCTGCCTTTGGGGGCTGCATTTTATATTGGTAACCCGAGTGGGTCATCAAAAAGTGAAACTATCGTTACTTTTGGGCTCTGAATATGGAGGAAGTAACAGGCGGAATCCACGTCTGTGAGCGCATTGCAAGGAAGTCTCAGGCGGGAGCCTCTTCCTTATGGGGCCGGCACTTCATGTTGGTAATCCGAACGGGTCATCCAAAACCTGTAACTGTCGTCACTTTTGGGCTCCTGAAGCATGAGTATGGGGGAAGTATCAGGCGGGAGCCTTGTCCGTAAGTGAATTGCGAGGAAGTCTCAGGCGGGAGCCCCCTCCCCATGGGGCCCGCACTTATGTTGGTAATCCGAGCGGGTCATCCTCAAACCTGTAACTGTCGTCACTTTCGGGCTCTTGAGGCCAGAATATGGAGGAAGTCTTAGGCGGGAGCCTTGTCTGTGAGTGAATTGCGAGGTCAGGCGGGAGCACCCTCTTCCTATGGGGGCCGCTCTTTATGTTGGAATCCGAAGCGGGTCATCCTCAAACCTGTAACTGTCGTCACTTTTGGGCTCCTGAAGCTTGAACATGGGGGAAGTATCAGGCGGGAGCCTCGTTTGTGAGTGACTTGCGAGGAAGTCTCAGGCGGGAGCACCCCCTCCCCATGGGGGCCGCACTTTATGTTGGAATCCGAGGCGGGTCATCGGATTCTTGTAACTGTCGTCACTTTGGGCTCTTCAGGCCTGACTGTGGGGGAAGTATCAAGCGGGAGCCTCGTCGGTGACTGGGTCGGCACGGCCTGCCCTCGCTCCCCGGCGGCCCGCGGGATTGCCCCAAAGGCATGGCTGACCCGAAGGGCTGCCCCGACGGCTTCGCGATTTAGCCGTCGGCAAACGCGCGCGTGCTGGCCGAGGCGGCGACGGCGCCGAGGAAAATCGACTTGCTTCCCCCGACCATGGGGAAGGGGAGGTGCACATGGAGAAGAGGCAGGAGGAGGATGAGGAGGGAAGGGGTATGGGGGAGGGCGATGATGAGGAGGAGGTGGAGAGGAGGAGGAGGAGGCGGAGGAGGAGGAGGAGGAGGAAGAGGAGAAGGAGGGGGAGAAATAGAAGAAGGAAGGAAAGAGGGCTGAGGAGAGGGCGAGAGGAGGGTGTTTGCCATGGCCGGGAGGAAAGGGAGAAGGGCAAGCTAAACAGATTATCATGTGGGGTCCTTCCGTCGGAGTAATTTTTAATTTTTCCTTCAAAATCCCCCTGTAGAGGGACGGGCCCGACTTAAGTCCAGACCCTCGGGGCCCCTCTCCTCCCTGGCGAGGGTGGAGGGCAGAGAATCCACCCTGGCAGCAAGCACCCCGACGAGCGAGACCGTTTCGCAGACGCGCCCAAGGCAGGAAGCGAACCGGGCGGGGCTGTGCAATAAACGCCCGGGGCCGTTCCGGAAACGCCACTCGTCGGGGTCTGCGTGCTTCCTCCTCCCTGGCGGGAGAGCGGGCGGCCGCCTGTCTCGGTGGAGGAGGTCGTGGCGGTGCCGGTGGCGCTGCTGGTCCCCGACCGCGTCGTGGCGGTGCCGGTGGCGGTAGCGGTGGCGGTGCTGCTCGCGGTGAGCGTGGTGAGGGTGCTCGTGTGCACCTCGGCCGCGCCCTTCATCGATGCTCGACCCTCCTCGATCCTCCCCGTCCTCGATCTTTCTCGGACGGCACGAGGGGACCTCAGGAGGGGGGGAGGATGATAAGGAGGAGGAGGAGGGGGAGGAGGAGGAGGAGGAGGAGGAGGAGGAGGAGGAGGAGGAGAAGGCAGAGGGAGAAAAAGGAGGAGGAGGACGAGGAGGAGGAGGAGGAAGAGGAGGATGAGGAGGAGGAGAGGCCGGGGGATTGTGGAGCCCCTCGTCGTTTTCATACGGTTTTCATCGAATGAAACGCTCTTTCACCCTTAAACTTTGGTTGTTTATTGTCATTTTTTTTCGCCGTGATCCCCTCATACTAAATATTTTCTGGTTATATCGTTTTCTAGTGTTCTCTCTCTCTCTCTCTCTCCTCTCTCTCTCTTTGTCTCTCTCTGTCTCTCTTTGTCTATCTCCTGCACCAGGCCAATGCATGCCGATGCGATACAAGTCCATTCCCAACCGACACCAATGCCAATGCAATGCCAATGGGGGAATCCTTTCGTTCGGTAGATTTCAATAAGTGTTCTTTGTGAAATATGTCATTACGAATCCTTCTTCGGAGGATTTCAATAGCAATGCTTATGTGCAAGGTTTCGATCGGGATCCTCATGTGGAGGGTATCACTCGGAATCCTTCATGTGGGAGGATCTAATCGGAATCGTTCTTGTGGAGGGTTTCAGTCGGAGTCCGTCTGCGGAGGGAGCCATTAGGACTCGCCAGCGCAATGCCAACGCACTGCCATCGCAATGCCAAGGCGATCCCCATTCAATGCCAATGCAATGCCAATGGGGGGTATCCTTTGTGGTAGATTGGATTGCAAAAAGAATCCTACCTGTGGAGGGTTTCGATTGGAATCCTTCCGTGGGGGGTTCAGTATGAATCTTTTATGTTGGGGGCTTTCAAAAGGATCCCTTCTTGTGGAAGGTAAGGAATCCTTTGTGGTGGGAGCCATTCGAACTCGCCAGCGCAATGCCAAAGCAGTGCCAACGCAATGCCAAACTAATGCCAATGCAATGCCAATGGGGGGAACTGTTTGTGGTAGATTTCAATAGCAATCCTTCGAAGAACCCTTCTTCGGGGGATTTCAATACGAAACCCTCCATGGAGGGCTTCGCATGGAACCCTTCGGTTGAGGATTTCAATTTGAATCCTTCTGGTGGGGGGGATTCAATAGGCATCCTTTGTGTGGGGGTGTTCAATAGGAATCCTTCTGTGAAGTGTTTGAGTCGGGCTCGCCAGCGCAATGTCAACGCAATGCCAACCCACTGCCAACGCACTGCCATCGCAATGCCAACGCAATGCCAATGCGATACCAAACCGTTGCCAAACCAATGCCAATGCAATGCCGATGGCGGGATTCCTGCCTTCCAACAGATTTCACTAGAAATCTTTATGTGAATGATTTGGATACGAATCCTTCTTCGGAGGATTTCGATAGGAATCCTCCCGTGCAGGGTTTCGATTGGAATGCTCCTGTGGGGGTTCCACTTTGAATACTTCATGTGGGGGCTTTCAAAAGGATCCCTTCTGGTGGAAGGTTCTCACAGGAATCCTTCTGTGGGGAGAGCCATCAGAACTCGCCAGCGCAATGCCAACGCAACGCTAAACCAATGCCAACGCGATCCCAATTCAATGCCAATGCAATGCCAATGGGGGGAATCGTTTGTGGTCGGGTTCAAGAAGAATCCGTCTCTGGAGGGCTTCGAATGGAATCCTTCCGTGAGGGAGTTCAATGTGAACCCTTCTTGTGGGATGCTTCAATCGGAATCCTTTTTGTGGGGTCAACAGGAATCATTCTGCGAAGGGAGGTGTTGGAACTCGCCAGCGCAACGCCAGCGCAATGCCAACGCAGTGCCAACGCAATGACACACCAATGCCAAAGCGATCCCATGTCAATGTGGAAATCCTTTGTGGTAGATTTCAATAGGAATCCTTCTCTGGAGGGTTTCGCATGTAATCCTTCTGTGGAGGGTGTCAAGATGAACAGTTTTTTTGTGGAGGGTTTCAATAAGAGTCCTTCTTGTAGAAGGTTTCGATCGGAGTCCTTATGTGGAGGGTTCCATTCGGACTCGCCTGCGCAATGCTTGCGAAATGCAAGCGCACTAGCAACGCACTGCCAAGCGCAAAGCTAAAACAATGCTAATGCGATGCCAAACCATTGCCAAACCAATGCCAATGCAATGTCAACGGGGGGTTCTTTCTTTCGAAGCATCTCAATATCAATCCTTCTGCGGGTGATTTCAATAGAAATCCACATGTGGAGGATTTCAGTAGGAGTCATTCAGTGGAAGGTTTCGATAATAATCTGTCTGTAAAGGATTTCGCTATGAATCCGTCTTGTGGAGGCGTTCAATAGGAATCCATTCTAGGGGGGGGGGACATGAGGCCACGTCGCATTCCTTTTTTTCCGCCGCCGACCCCCCCCAACAAAAAAACTGTTTTTTGGAGAGACAAAAGAAAGGCGGAGGGGGAGGAGGATGAGGAGGAGGAGGAGGGGGAGGAGGAGAGGAGGAGGAGGAGGAGAGGAGGAGGAGGAGGAGGAGGAGGGGGAGGCGGAAGGAGAGGAGGACGCCACAGAGTACGCTCACTGAAAGACGCACGCGCGAACTGTGTGAAAGCCTCGCGCGCGCGCGCCCTGGAACCCTGAGGGGCTCCACAATCCCCCGTTCTCGAGGAGGAGGGGGGGGGGGGAGGGAGAGGAGGAGGAGGGAGGAGGAGGAGGAGGAGGAGGAGGAGGAGGAGGAGGAGGAGGAGGAGGAGGAGGAGGAGGAGGATGAGGAGGAGGAGGAGGAGGAGGGAGAGGGAGAGGAGGAGGAGTTTTCCTTCCCCCCTGGGCGCGTCGGAGGACCTAGTTACTCCGCACCTGTGAGGGTCTCTCCCGCCGCGTGGCTTCTCCATGCCAGTATTTGAGGGGGATGGCAACGCCGAGTTTCGACCTTCATGCCGACAACGTCAGCGTGAGGAGGAGGAGGAGGAGGAGGAGGAACCCGAGGAGGATGATGAGGACGAGGAGGAGGACCAATGCAAACACAATGCTCATCAACGATGTTGGGATACAACCTTTGTCCAAGCTCCCTCTTCATAGGCTCCATACAAGAATTAAGCTCCACTGAGGGGACTGCCCCGTTGGAAAACAACCGTGTGAAAATCTTGAAGCGCGCCAAGCCTCCATTCTCAGAAATTCAACGCCACGGATCAACATGACTGTTGCGTCTTGACGGTCATGGATCATGCTAAAACACCCTGCCTGGAACTTTGGCACCGCGAGTCAACCTTGCGCTTGCCCTCCCAAGCTTCCGCTTGCCCGAGACTCTCGGACGAGTCTGCGCAAACTGCCCGGGGCGCCAGTGATCATGGGGCGCCTCGAGCCCGAGGCCGGATCGCATGCCTGCCCACCGCCTGGGCGCGTTTGCGAAACCGATGTCCCGGGCGGTGGACATGCACACGCTGCCACCTCGGACCGAACTGCAGCACTCCTGCCGACGCCTCACCGCAATAACCTTCCGCCGATCGGGACTGGGGTTAGCTCGGGTCTGTGCCCCATACAGGGGGATTTTGGGCGAAGAATTAGAATAGTCCAAGAACGCCTCAAACTACCCAAAAATGGTAAACAAACAATAGTCCCCAGACTATTTTCTGACTATTTTTGAATATTCCTCCCGTGGAGGGACAGGCCCGACTCAAGGACTGGGGCCTGGCGGCAGCCTCGAGAGCTGCCCAAAGCCCTCTCGGGGATCTTCTGACCCAGGTCAATCCAGACCCGGGTCAGTCAGGCCTTGCAAGATCCTGCAGGATCCTGCACCCAAACCCGGGTCAATGCGAAGGATCCTGTAAGATCCTGCACCCAGACCCGGGTCAATGCAGCCCTGGCCCTGCAGGATCCTGCAAGATCCAGCGCTCTGGCTGACCCCCGTTTGCATTGACCCCCGTCTCAAGGCTGCCGACCCTCTGCGAGCTCTGGCCGCCCGGGGCTCGGGCCGTGGTGCTTGAGGTGGCCGAGCTGGTCTCCGTGGCCTCGGTGAGCGGGCGCCCGCTGGGCGCATGTCGAGCGGCCGACCGAGCCATGCCGTGCATCGATGCAGTCGCGCACTAACAGGAGGAGGAGGAGGAGGAGGAGGAGGAGGAGGAGGAGGAGGAGGAGGAGGAGGAGGAGGAGGAGGAGGAGGAGGAGGAGGAGGAGGAGCATCGATGCTTGACAGTGAACGACATGCATCAATGCATCGATACAATCGGTGCTGGTGTGCGCGCGCGCGTCTTCCTCCCCTCCGTCCCTCTGCCCGCCGCTTCCCCTCTGCCGCCGTCTCCTGTTCCGCCTCCCTCTCTGCGGCTCGCCTGCGCTCTCCTGGGCCCGACTGAGACTGGCGCGACGCGGAGCGCGCTCGAGCCGAGGAACAAACATATATTCATGTGCACGTATGTGTGTGATCTGGGCTGTTCGCGAAGCCAAAGTGTGTGTGTGTGTGTATGTATGTGTGTGTGTGTGTGTGTGTGTGCGTGCGTTCGTGCGTGCGTGCGTGCGTGCATGTGTGTGTGTGTGTGTGTGTGTGCGTGCGTGCGTGCGTGCGTGCGTGCGTGCGTGCGTGCGTGCGTGCGTGCGTGCATGTGTGTGTGTGTGTGTGTGTTTGTGTGTGGATCGATGGCGCCCCAGCTTTCCAGACCCGCCGGCGCGGCCCCTGGGCCGCCCCCGGCTTCCGGCACCTGCCCTGCGGCGCCTCCTCGAGGTGCGTCGCCGCTCCTCGCCGCTGTTTGGCCCGCTGTTGCGCACGCCTGGAGGCGCTGCCCGCTGCCCGCCCCCCGCCCCTGAGGGGCCTGACCCGCCGGCGTCCTGCGTCCTCTAGGCGCTGCCGCCCGCTGCTCCCCGCCGCTGCCCGCTGCCCCGTGAGGGGCCGGCGCCTCGCCTTTTCTGACTGGCCTGGCTTAGCCTGACTTCGATCCTTGGTGGCCTGGCTTAGCCTGACTTCGACGTCCCTGGAGCGCTCGAGCGGCTTCCGCCCCAGCTGCGTGCGACCAAAATTGCGTGTGTGTGTGTGTGTGTGTGTGTGTGTGTGTGCGTGTGTGTGTGTGTGTGTGTGTGCGTGTGTGTATGTGTGTGCGTGTGTGAAAATGTGTGTGTGTGTGTGAGTGTGTGTGTGTGTGTGTGTGTGCGTGCGCGTGTTTTTTTTTTTTTTGTGTGTGTGTGTGTGTGTGTCTGTGTGTTTGTTTGTTTGTTTGTTTGTTTGTGTGTGTGTGTGTTCGTTCCTCTGGGGAGCCGCGTGCCCGCCGAGGAGACGAACGGGCGACTCTGGGACAAGCTCGGCACGAGTCCTTCCTGGCACCGTGCGGCATTCTTCGCTGAACGACCCCTACATAAACGTACTCCACCCGTCCTCAATTTCCCCTCACCCCCCAGTGAACGCAGAGGAAATGACGGAGCGTGTACACTGGTGTTGAGTCTGCGCGTCAGCCGCTGGGGTCGCCATCTCAGACAGAGAAAGGAGGGTGAAGCGAGATGAGGGTGAGATGCGGAAGGGAATGAGGACGCCAAAGGAGGATGAGGACCGAGGTCTGCGAGGTGTGCAGGCAACGCCCCGAGCTCCTCGCGCTCTGCCAAACCGGCGCCGACACAGCCCGCCATCCAGGCCCGAGTCATCCTGCTTCTACCGTGACGGGTTCTCACCGCTCGACACACTGCCGGGAGAGCGGGGCCGTAACGCTACGTTGGGCGGCGCTGGTAGGCGTCAAGGCCGGAAGAGGCGCAGCAACCGCGCGCGTTCGCCCAAATTTCCCCCCCCCCCCCCCCCCCCCTCCCCCCTTGTGCACCTCTGGCCGTCCGCGGGCCAACGAGGCGCCTCAACCAACCCCAGGGCCCCTGCCAGCCGCGCTGCTGCCAGCGGCGGCACTGGCAGGTCTCGTCTCTTGGGATGGTCGTAAGGTGGGGCCAGTGGTGCCCAGGTCACCCCATTTCGCGCATCGCGTCCCGCGATGCGCGACGCGCGGTTATCTTCGCGCCCTCGCGAGGAAACCTTGGAGAAGGCCAGCTTTCCGGCCCAGGCCGCGACGCGCGAAGCGCGATCATCTTTGCGCCCCTGGGGGTGACCCAGGGTACAGTAGACACATATGATGAGACACCGTTCCAACAGAGATCTAGGGACACGGTCGTCATCGAACTTTGAGCTTCCCGAGGTGCCCCAACGCTCACGTGGGCCCCGGTGGCCATCCATGGGGCAAGAAACTTGCCGCGGGGCACCTGCTGGCAGCTCAGTTCCTGATGTGATGCGTCTACTGTAGTCGAACCGGGGAGGATGCCTCTGCCGAGCGCTCGGTCTTGAACCCTGGGTGCTGAATCCCCAGGCACCTCCCCGATGGGCCACGGGCTGGCAGGGTCAGGGAAGGGGACGAGGAAGACGAAAGAGAAGGCAGGGGTAGGACAACCGTCCCGCCCCCCCCCCCCCCGAGGCGCTCGAGACAGAAAACCATAATGAAACGTGCACGCACATGTGTGTTCTGTTTGATGTGAGGTCTTAACCCTCGGTTGAATTGCCCCTCGCTTTGAGTCAAGCAAACGTTGCTTCTCTCCTTATTCCTTCCTCCTCCTCATGTCTTTTCCCTGCCTCTCTTCTCTTCCCTCCACTTCCCCTCCCTCTTCCTGCGTTCCCGTTCTCCTGTTGACCTCCGTTGGGCGCCTCCGAACGCAGATCCCCTCGCTACTTTCTGAGCTTGGCCTGCCTGCACCCGAGTGAGGAGATCTCAGCCACGCCACTTCGCACCCCGTAGAAGAATCGGGTGGCACGCCGCGCTGCGTGCACCCGAACGGGACCTCAACACCCCGGGGCGCGGCCGAACGTGTGCCTGCCGCCCCTTCCCGGCAAGTCAGGCCTCGCCTCCTCCCTGGGTGCTGCTCAACGCGAGAGCTGCCCCACAATGCTCGTGCCCCTTGCGGAGTTCAGCGCGGCGCCGCCCCCGGGGACACCCAGCACTCGGGGGCGCGCCCACGCGGGAAGGCAGATGGGGCGGGGGAAGGCAGAGGGGGCGGGCCTTCTCAGAAGGGAAACGGATGTGGATGAGGACAGGCATGATGATGATGAGGAGGAGGGAGGGAGGGAGGGAGGGAGGGAGGGAGGGAGGGAGGGAGGGAGGGAGGGAGGAGGAGGAGGAGGAGGAGCAGGAGGAGGAGGAGGATGAGGAGGAGGAAGACGAGGAGGAGGAGGATGGTGATGGTGATGGTGATGGTGATGGTGATGGTGATGGTGATGGTGATGGTGATGGTGATGGTGATAGTGATAGTGATGATGATGATGATGATGATGATGATGATGATGATGATGATGATGATGATGATGATGATGATGATGATGATGATGATATTATGATGCTGTTGCTGCTGATGATGACGATGCCGATGAGGAGGAGAGGAGGGATGATGATGATGCTGATGCTGATCCTGATGATGATGATGATGAGGAGGAGAGGAAGATGGGGGCGGGCCTTCTCAGCAGGCTCAGTAGGCCTCTGGCCTGCTGAGAAGCATGCTGAGCCTCCTCCGAAGCCACGGAGGGCTTTCGACAGGCGCTGCCGCCCTCCGAGAAGGCCTGCCCCCTCTCTCACTTCCCCCCTCGGCGAGCCCGGGAGGCCACCTCCTAACCCCCCCAGGGGAGGAGGGAGGATGAGGATGAGGATGCGGATGAGGATGAGGATGAGGGGGAGGAGGAGGAGGAGGATGGTGATGGTGATGGTGATACTGATGATGCTGCTGCTGATGATGAGGAGAGGAGGGATGAAGATGATGATGATGATGGTGAGGAGGAGGAGGAGGAGGAGGAGGAGGAGGAGGAGGAGGAGGAGGAGAAGGAGGAGAAGGCAGAGTGAGAAAAGCAGGAGGAGGACGAGGAGGAGGATGAGGAGGATGAGAGGAGGCGGGAGTTGCACGCCACTGAGGGGAAGGGGGAGCGATAGAGACAGAAAGAGAGAGAGATAGAAGAGAAAGAGAGAGTGAGAGAGAGAGAAGCACACAAAGAGAGATAGCGCAAGAGAGAGAGAGAGAGAGACAACGAAAGAGAGAGAGAGAGAGAGAGAGATGAGAGAGCCTGTCAGAAAAATACAATAGGGGGGCCCATCGGAGAGGACCTTTTTGTCACCGCGGGTGGCTTTGACGGGCCACCCGCGGGCCAGCGACAGGACCCCCGTAGGAAAGTAGGTCATCCTTCGTCCCCTTCTGCGGGATCGATGTATTCGGCTTCCTTCTTCCGCAACTCTGCGCCGAGGCAGCGAGCTTCGACCCCGTTCAGGCCGAAAGCCCGAGGCAGCGGGCCAGGTTAGAGTCCCGACCCGTTCGGCAGCTCGGAGCAACAACGCTCCGCTCTCCTCCTGGCTGGGCCCTTGGTCCGGAGAGGGCCCCAAGAACAACTCCCGAGCGGGGACATCAGGAGACACCCAAGGACCCAACCTGTGCGGGCGACTCGGGTGCTTGCCGCTAAAAACCTCTCTGGGTCCACGAGGGCGGCTTGGGACCCCTGGCAGGTGGACCGCAAGTCCCGTGCCCCAGGGGAAATGGTCGCATACGCGCCGCAAGAGGAACAAAACAAAAACGGGGCTGGACCCTCTGAAAGCACAGGGAACTCCGTGAGGTTTCCCGCTTCTTGGGTCCACGGGGCCTGGGAAACGCCAGCCGCAGGAAGGACCAACTCGGGCTCCAGGGGCTCGGGAAGAGCCTGGGAGGGGCCCTCAGGGGGGGATCGGAGCGGGAGCGGCAAACGCAGCGGCAGCAGCCACCTCCTTGTCCGCCCTCCTCGCCTCCTCCAAAGCCCCCCCCCCCCCATCCAAGGCCCCGCTCCAGGGAAATCAGCGCCATCCCCTGGGCACCGATGTTGTCATAGCGCGCCTCTGCAATCAGAGTGACATGTGTAAGACCTCCCATAAGGACCTGGATGCTATAAAAACAGCATGGTCCTCGCCATCACGGGCGACCTGGTCTGGGCACATAGTGGGCGGTACCGACCCATACCACCCCGCAACCCACCGGCGCCCCTGGTCATAGA